TTTTTTTTAAATATTTTAATTTCAATTTTGAATGTTTTTGTTGGACACTATATTGCAGAGGAATTCCAGTGATTTGCTATGATGAATGTAACATTAAACGGTAACTGGATAGTCACGTCGTCGCTATTAATCGGCTTCTTAGAACGTTATCTCTAAACAGGTTTGCATTAATTCTCGGTACGCGTTCGTTTCCCTCGCGACGGTGTTGCCGGCATAAGAATAAAAATCTGCCATTGTCCCGAACGAAACGAAAACGGGAAATTTGTAAAATTATCGGCTTCCGGGCGAAAGTTCTCCGAATCATTAAAAAAAAACCGAAATTAACGCTATAAGGCAAACGTCAGTAGGAATTCTCTCCGAACGAATCAATACATTAGAATCTTTTCTAATGGGACGAAATTCTGAAAGCTGAAAACTCTGTTTCGGAGCTACGCGAATTCTTCCTCGATCGTTGTTTACATTGACGCGGGTTTCCAGTTGTGTTTTCTTCTTCGCAACTCTACAGCTGTAGAGGAAAGGCTGGTGAAAAAAAAAAAAAGAAGGGAAGAGAAGAGACAAAAAGGACGAGGGAAGCAAGTTCCTTTGTATACGGCCGAGTGACCGACAGACCAGCCGGGATATACTATGTGCGTTACGTAAAGCCACGTTTGTTGCACAATAATGGGTCTCTATAAATAACTCGAAGCATGGCCGCATCGGCGCGACTTCTTGTTTACATACGCTCATCACCGTGCCGCGTTACGTTCACTTACACACGGGGTAGGCTTCGATCTGTCGTGTCTAGGCTAACATATGTGTAAAACGATTGTCCCCGGTTGTCGCATGGTCGCAATGGTCGCATGGTCGCCGCTTCTAGTCGTGAAATTTGCCACAGCGTTCTCCTCGTTACTCGTCGATACACATTGTACATACACATTGTACACCGGGCATAGGCGTCTCTTCACCACGTACGCGTTTCTTTTGTCGTGTGGTGGTGAGACGTGCACGCGATAACGCCCGACTAACTACTACAGGCCCGTGGCAGAGCACGCCTGTAACTCGTACACGTAGTATGTATATACATATGGTGTAAAGGAACGCTGTACAGAGTACGCCATAATTGATACACAGCTTGAATGAAGGAGCGTTGAGAAACCCGGGAAATACGTACGTACGATTTTACATGTTGCGTACGGAAACGCTCGTCAGAGGTATTAAGCGTAAATCATTGCATTAATGCACGCGACATACCTTACGTTCACGC